AATAATTCAACTGTAAACCTAAAAATTTACAGCCAATTTTGAAAGAGATGCATCTTAGCTCAGAAAATTGTTATTGAATATGTCAGTGCTGTTGTAATGAAATGCTTCTTCTAAGTCTGTGGTTATTAAATAAATAATTTTTTTAAAAAGACAAAAAAAGTAATTGTGAAGTTTCAGTGTAGGGTCTTACTAAGACACAGTAACCAAGGAAACTGCTGAAGCACTTTATCTAATTCTCTCATTGAACAAAGGGGAGATTTGAGATCCTAAAAAGGAAAAAATTACTTGCTGAGGTTACCCTTAGTTAATGTACATAGGTAGGACTGACTCCTAGGTCTCCTCCACTTGACCTCAGAGTTGCCCCCGAGATCTCTGACTTTATAGAATCATAAAGGAATACAGGAAATGATGCTGTTGCTATGGCATGACAGCCAAAAGAAAAATCTCCATCACATTCTGCATCTGTGGACATGTCACACAGCGTGTTGAAAAATTAAAAATGATAACAGATAAAGAAAAAGATTCATGCCTACTTACTGCTGTGTACAGCAGACTCACTGGTCTGTGGGCTTCTGGTCTCCACTTCTTAGCCTTAGAAGCACTGGGATTACAGACGTGCAATGGAGTCCAGTTTTATGTGGGTCCTGAGGACTCAAACTCTGGCCCTCTCCAGCTATGACTCTCAGTAATTCCTAAAGAACTTTACCTGCATCATATGTGGGCCACGGCTCCACTTAAGGATGGGTGAGGGTGAAAACATCAGTGGAAGATTCACCTATACAGATCATGCCTACAAGAGGCACACAGAGAATGGGTGGACAAATTCAACCAGGACAAAATGAACTAGAGATCATTTTAACAGTTTCAAACATCAATGATCTATTTGACTCATGGAATGCTTTGTGGGTTTCATCCATTCATCCATTCACTCTTTTATTCAGGGTAATCACTTTAAGTGTAAGTCAGGAATGCTGCAGAATGGCTTCCTACTTCCAAGATAGTAAAATCCAGATTTTAAAAACGACTTTACTACAAGACCCTTGGAGGTGTGTTACCTGCCTTCTCCCCACAAACTTACTTGGGTCTGGAATCCAATAGAGACTGCCAGTTAATCACAATCAAACAGATGCTAAGAACCTTTGGGAGTTCTTGGTGTTCAACAGAGCATAATGGGGGTCCTAATAAGGTGCCTCTAAATAAATGATTCAAGAAATAATGACAACTACAATGCAACCACACTGTTCTAACCACATTGTCTTTTTTTAAAAAACTTTTTTTAAAGTTTATTTTTTTTAATTTTTTTAAATTTAATAACCACATAATTAGAAGAAGCATTTCATTACAGCTTTAACATATTCAGTAACACATTCCAGAGCAAGGATACATCTCTTTCAAAGTTGGCTGTAAATTTTTAGGTTCATAGTTGAATTAATACAGTCATACAATATTGAGCTCAGAATAAACCCTACAAATTTCATGATTTGTCTTAATGCATTTTCTCTTCAACATAAAGTACTCCACTTAGGTAGAGACTTTTATTATCCCATTTCATGGGTGAAGAACTGAGGGACCGAAAGGCTATATAACTTACCCAAAATAGTAAGTATTGGACCTAGGATTCGAACTACACATCCTAGCTGCAAAGTTCACATTCTTGACCAGTGTACAACATTACATCCAGGCAGCCAATCCCTCAGATGAAAAAGAATTAAGTCTGCACACAGGAAAGCACATTCTAAGGCAGTAAGAGTGAATGCAAAGAGACTGAGGAGGGAACACAACACACTTGACACAACCTGGAAGGCCAGCAGAGCTAGAGCACAGAGATGCAGGAATGAACCCAGGATGGGGCTAGGAATGATAGGAGAGATCAGGCAGGCAGAGGAGATAGCCAGAAAAGGGCCAGATCAGGAGGGATGGACCCTACAAGATAGGTTAAAGGTCAGTTTTATGATCCTCAGTTTAATGACAAGCTAGTGAATGTTTTTCATAAAGTCAAGGATAATAGTGATTTTTCAGTTCAACGAGATGCCTCTAGCTGCAGTGTGCCCAGTCTCCTGCTGATATGGGACTGTGAAGACCAGCTGGGAGTAGGGATAGGGAAAAGCAGGCCTATTTGCATGTATTTGATCAAGTCCTGCCAACAGTGTTCTCTGAAGCCCTGCTTTGGAGTCCCAGCTCACCTTTTCTGACAAGGCCTCCTCCAGCGTGGCCAAAGCGGTGTCTGTGTTGCTGGAATCTGTCTGTAAGGACTTCACTCTGTCTTTCAGGTTGGTCAGCTGCTTGTCCTTATCTCTAAGTTGTTCTTGCAAGTTTTCAATCTAAAAACAAAGATTAACATATTTAAAACATATTTTGTATGTAATCAGGGTAAACATTCCTGAAGTTCTCTTTTCTTAAGACCTGATATTATGGACATCTTCAGGATTATGAGATTAGACTTCATTTAGATTTAAGGATATTGTGAAATCTTGATCCATTTAATGCAATTCTGTATTTAAAAGATAATAGGGTTAAGTAGAACATTGCCTTCCGTACAAACACCAGCCTCTAGACAGATAAACACCATTGTTTCTCTCTTTCTGTTCACTTCACCGTACTTTTCAGATTCAAGCCCTGGGACCTTGGTCAGGTGAACCAGAAGAATACTCACACAGGACTGCTTCATCCACTGAACAGACACTGACTGAGAGGCCATTCCACACCAAGCCCCGTCCTTCACTCACTCCTTTATTCAGCAAGAAATCTTATGATATGCCAAATGTTGTCAAGTGGCTGTTTCAAAGTGACCACAAGAAAAGCCAAGTAGGTTATCACAGCAGACTGTTAATGGGAAGAACTTGTGATATAAGTCATAACCAACCAGTACTAAACACCCCATTTGGCAACTAAGTCATATGCTGGCAACCAACCAGTTACTTTTATCTGGTATCTGCACCCTGAAATAAGCAAAGCAAACAGCTGATTGTAACGCCTGCCCAGCAACAGTGGCAAAGACCTGCTCCCAGGCATCACAGCTATCATTCATGTTTTCATTCTTTGCTTTCAAACCATGCATTTCTTATCCAAGGGCTTTTTTTAAAAAGCCCACTATACAAACAGTTTATTCATATTAAGGGATTTTAAATGACAAGGAAAAAAAGCAGCGCAACTCTTAGATAAGTTCATTCAAAATATTTGTGCTCTGTACCCAGCTTTCTCAGGGACCCATTCCAAATGGGTGCTTCACTATGTGGGACTCAAGCGCATTCTGTGACTCCTTGATTCCTTTCACATGAATCTGGATTGGCCACGCAAATAATGCTGGCAGCAGCTGTGGAAATGGGGACCAGGACGATGGCGGTGCATCATCAAAATGCCTCTGAACAAGCCAGGCATGTGACTTGCACTATAATCTTAAGAGTCAGGAAGGTGGGCAGAAAGATTGCCATGAGGCTAGCTTGGGCCACATAATGAGTTCTAGGCCAGCCTGGGCTACAGAGTGAGAGCCTGTCTCCAAACAAAACAACAAAACAAAACGCATCTCTAAAGGGATGACGAGGACACATCGGCCCCTCAGTTGGCAGGGCTTGGCTAACATTTCCAATGGTTTCATTAGATCTAGGCTAATAAAAATGGATCCTTTTTCTTCCTGTCTTCCTATTTCTCTTTTCTTTTCCTTTCTGGCTGACTTGCACCTCCTCCCTCCTCTCTATTTCTACATTCTTCCTTCTCTGCCTTAAGACATCTCAGAAATTCAGGTTATAGGTCAAATAGTTAACCTTGTCCTCCTTCATCCAAATACAGTGTTCTACCTCATCCAGCTGCCACTGTGAGAATCTACTACTCCTCCCTCATGGAAGACACAGGAATTCAAAAGGAATCATGATCTTCTGAGTCAAAACAAAGGCATTCTCCTTCCCAGACAAGTGAGTGTTTGTACTACACTATAAATAAATGTATGTGTGAACAAGAATACAGATAGTTTCTTGGGGAAAACTGCCATGCAAGCACGGTGGTCTCAGTTTGGATGCCCAGAACCCACATAAAAAGCTGGGCATGGTGGTGTATGTTTGTAACCTCAGCATTGAGGGGGATGGGAGGTGGAGAGAGAAAGATCCCTCAAACTCACTGGCCAGCCAATCTAGCTGAATCAGTGAGCTCCAGGTTCAGGGAGAGACCTTGTCTAAAAAGCTAAAGTAGTCAGTGAGATGGCTTAGTTGATAAAGGTACCTGCTGCCTAGTCTGATAACCTGAGTTCAATCCTTGGGACCCACACAGTGGAAGGAGAGAACTGGTTCCTGAAAGTGGTCCTCTCACCTCCACCAGCATTGCATTGTGGTGCTTATGCACACAGGCAAACAGAGAGAGAGAGAGACAGAGACAGAGACAGAGACACTGAGAGAGAGAGACAGAGACAAAGATATAGAGAGACAGAGACACAGAGAAATAAATAATAAATAAATGAAGGCAGTAAAAATTTTTTAAAACTAAGGAAAAGATTAATCAAAGATTCCAATGTCAACCTCTGGCCTCCATATACATGTGAATACAAGTACATGTATGCTCTCACATGCACATGCATATACCCACATAAATACATATACCACACACATGTACATACACACAGATATTTTTTCTCAATATATATTTTTATTGAATTTTTGTGCATTTCATACAATATATCTCAATCATATTTAGATCCCCTCCCCTATACCTTCAATAGCCCCCCCATGGGATTTCATGCATTCTGCCATATATGTTAAGGCCTATGAAGTCAAATTTGTGTACCAGATGTCCTACAGTGTGAGTTCAACCACTGGAGCCTATACAACCTATCTAGCCTCACTCCCTTAAAGAAGATTAACTATTCCTCACCCAGCAGTGATCAGCTGTCGATATTTCCTCGGCTAAGGTTGGAGCCTCCTGCCCACACACATACGCTTAAATAAAGATAATAATAAATCTTCAAATATGAAGTATAGTTATATGTCTAGTGAGATTATGGCTTATTTTTAGTTTATATTTGTAAATAAAATTACTAAATAGGGTCAGTGGGGTGACTCAGCAGGTAAAGGTATTTGTTGCTAAGCCTGACAACCTAATTTTGAGGCCTGGACCCAATGACGGACAAAGAAAACCAACTCCCAAAAGTTGTCCTCTGACTTCCATATATATGCCATGACTCAAGTGTACACACGCACAGACACACACTCAAAAATACTTGTAATAAAAACTTTTATTATTTATTATGTGAATAAATAATAAACAACCACCACAAATGCCTAGAATTCTTCATGTCCCATGGCTTGTGTATGGTCTGTCCCTCAAAGGGTCCTGCTGGAAGCCGGGTCCTTGGAGAGCCGTTGCTGAGAGGTGCAGTGGATCTAGTGAAAGGTGATTAGGTCATAGGGGCCCTACCCTCATAAGTGGGTTGATGACTTCCTGCAGGTGTGTTGGGTTTCACAGGACTTGATTAGTTCTCCCAAGAATGAGAGCACACCTGATCCCTCCCCAGACACTGCTTGCCATGTGACCTCTCAGATTCTAATGGCTCCCACTATAATGCCACCTGCCACACTGTGACATGGCCATCAGGCTAGCATCAGAAGCTGATGCCAGTGCCAAGCTCCTGAGCATCCAGAACTGTGGGTAAAATGAATTTCACTGCTATACGGAAGTACCCAGCACTGGGTGTTTTGCAGAGCCACACAACACAGAGATGCACACTGAGTACAGATGCTACTGGCCAAGCAGCTGATCAGCAGATGCCTAGGCTTCAGTGCAGACCCAGCTATATCTGACCATCGGATTGCATTACAACCATGACCATGCTGCCCTATGACCTCGACCTTATAGTCCTAGTCACCACAGCAGAGAGACTCCCTAAATTCCCAACATGCCAACAACTCTGATAGGTAAAGCTCATTAAATGAAAAGCAGAGTCAAGGTCAGGCTGATAGCCCAAATGCAAGAGAGGCTGAGAAAGAATGCTGGCATTCTCCCCTTCCAGAGCAAAAGACCTTCCTTCCACAAAAGCAGACGCAAAGTCAGAGTCCGGGTGGCCAAATAATCAACCCATATCTACAATATGCAGGGAAGGCTCTAGGTTTTCAGAACCAGAAAACACACAGTGTCCTAGAAAAACAGAGAAGTTACTCTCAATTCTCCCCTACTTCTCTCCTGCCACCTCTCATTCCTATAGCCTTGTAAGGCTAAGTTTGTATATGTGGTCCACACACCTCTATGTACCAGTCTGTGATGAGTTCATAAATACACAGCAAACACTACACTTCTCCATTTCTCTAATTTTGTTACTTGGTAAATGTTACATACTTGTGGTCATAAAGTATCATCTAATCTTTCATGTTGACTTTTTTCACTGAGCAGAACTGTCAAGAGAGCTACCCAAATCGTTATGCTTATCAATAATTCATTAATTTTTATTGCTGATCAGTACTCCACGGTGTGGATGTGTCAGCTTGTTAACCATGTACCTGTTGAAGGACATTTGGGCTGTTTCCAGTTTGGGCTGTAACAAGTAAGTTACACTGAGCATTCACATATAGGTTTGTGCTTTCTTTCTCTAAACAGAAGTTTTCACTGCTCTGGTATGCATGCCACCAGAATGCCATTGCTTGTCATATGGAAGTTGTCATTTTGTATTATGTACACCATTATTGAACTGTCTGCTAGAATGTCTACATTTTACATTTTCACCACAGCACCATGTAAGAATGGTCCAGTCTCCCCACATTCACAACAATTTTTGGTCTTGTCACTAGTTTTGATTTTAGTGACTGACAGGTGCTTCCTTAATGGCTAATGACTAATGCTAATGGCTAATGCACTTCACACCTTTAGCCTATTTTCTGGTTGGATTATTTGTGCTTTTGTTTTACTGTTGACTTTTAAAGACTCTTTACATATCTTGAATGTCTGTCCTTTGTCAGATCCCTTGGTGGGTGATGACTGTCTCCAAGGCTGTGGTGTATCATTTTGTCCGGTTACCAGGAACTTTCACAGAACAAACGATCCAATTTATTCCCCTTTCTCTCATAGTTCTTACTTTTTGGTCGGTTCAGAGAACTTTCTGCATAGTCCTGGATTCTGAAGTTTTTTTCTCTCAGAGTTTATTATAAAATCTATAGTTTAGTGTTTTTTAGTCAATGATGCTTGAGTTATTTTTTGCATGGGATATGAAGTTTAAATCAATGTACAGTTGTGATCTATACATGTCCAGTTGATCTTTTACCTTGGCAAAATGTCAGCTAAACATGTGGGAATATTTCAAGCTCTCTGCTTATAAAAGTATCTTTCAAGCAATACTTACCATAGTAAA